CGGTTTTCTTTGAGGGTATGCCCTTGAGAGTTTTGAATTAGTTTACGCATCATATTTGCACCGGGATGACCGAGCCGGTCGTGCCAAATAGTATAATCAGTAAACCGGGCTTTGAGAGTGGTATTAGCTTCAATCATACTGACTTTAGCATGGTAAAGTCCAGTAGAGAGCGCGGGTATGGTTTCGAGGATTTGTTTATGGCCGTCTACGGTTTTAGTGACTAGGAGGGATTCTTTGTTCCCTTGACCTTGGATTTCTATGTGGAAACCATTCTGTCTTATATCCTTGAAGCTCAGAAGATTTCTCTTCGAACTAGGAGAATATAGAGCATCTGGTATTTCAATTTGTGTGCCATTTGATAGCAACACATAGGCATGGCCATATCCTTCGATAAGGTTTGAGGGACCCGCGATGGTGCTAATATTTGCGGTTTGATAGGTTAGGTTTATGAAGTAACTTTTGTTTCTTAAGATAGTGTGGCTGGATCCACTATCTACGACTATGGTTTCCATTTGCTGGTGTGTTTCATTATGAATAGAAGATAGAATTCAGTATTGAGGAATTCAGAAAATGTGATAAATCATAAAGTAAAGCAGTGTCTGAGAATAAAGGCAAATGGAAAAAAAATGAAACAAATCCCAAAATGAAAAAAAAATAAAGAAAAAAATCAAATTGTATCAGAGTTTCAGATGATTGAATTAATCGAGGAGATCAGCTGTTTCATAGTCCATGGGGTCGGTCTGCTCGTTTGTGGTGTTCTCATCATCAAGGAGGTCGTCACCTTCCAGGTTAGCAGCATCGACTGGCTGAGTCATGTTGGCTTCAGCAGGAGCTTTTCCGTACTTCTGGTATAGATCGCAGTGGATCTTGGGGGTGCGACATTGCTTTGTTGGGTGGTTGAACATCCCACATCTGGTACAAGCAGAGTGATCGGGGTTGGTGTGGCGGGTCGGCTTGGTGATGCCTCGACCACGACCAGGACCATAACTGAGGTTAGGTCGGTTGCCACGACCATGTCCGCGTCCACGTCTTCCACGTCCATGTCCTCGGCCATTACCACGTCCATTACCACGTCCATGGCGGTGATCTGAGGATCTATCGGGTTGAACATGGTAGGACTCTTGACGAGAAGCTGGGACAGGAGCCGATCCCGGGGGCCTCATAGCGCTGTTCCTCATAAGCAGCTGGTTATTCTTCTCAGCGAGGAGAAGACAGGACAACAAGTCTTCGTACAATGTGTGTTTCATTGCACGGTATTGTTGTTGGAGCACAACATTCTCTGTGCTGAATGTGGATAATGTTTTCTCGAGGAGATCATTATCTGTCACATCCTCGCCACAGAGTTTCCGGATGGCAACAATACGAAAGAGTTCGTTGTTGTAATCATCTACGGATTTGTAGTCCCGGAACCGAAGGTTCTTCCAGTCGAAATCTGCCTGAGGCAACTGGACCATTTTCTGATGGTCATATCGCTTTTTCAACGCTTGCCACAATTCAAGTGGATTCTCAAGAGTGAGATATTGCTGCTTAAGGCTCGGGGCCAGATGATGGCGTATGTGACATATCGCCTGAGACTGTCCCTTACGGGATGCGGTGTTACCGTCGGTAATACACGCATCGAGTTCTTTCGATGCAAGGAACAAGCGCATGTCTAGGGCCCACTCGAGGTAGTTATCCCCGGAGACGTGAAGGGCTTCGAATTCACATTTCTGAATGTTTGACATCTGAAACATGAGATTGATTTTGTTAGGGATTGTTTTGAGAAAATTTTGAATGCTGATGATGAAACTTTCTATTTTGAGAATATTTCTATTTTAAGAAAGTTTCTAAATTTGGAAAGTTTCTAATTTGGGTAATTTTCTAAATGAGGAAAGTTTCTATGTCGGGAAAATTTCTATATGAGGAAAGTTTTTATATGAGGAAATTTTCTATTAGAGGGAACTTTCTCGGAAATAGTAAATTTTAAAGGGTATGGTTTTAGTTACCCCGAACATGATGTCGGTTTAATAGCTGTGATTTAATCGGTTAAAGCCGAATATAATTTCGGTTAATGAGAACCAGGTTTAGCCGGTTTTAGGCGGTTTAGGAGGAACCCTAGGGGAGCCGAATATGATTAGGGTTTTATCTAGGGTTTTAACGGTTTGGAAAACATATTTTGGATGTGATTTCGAGATCTATAGGATCTGTGGTCGATGGTTTTAATAATTTCACAAGGACAACAAAGAAATCACGTGAAAAGGACTAGGGTTTAAGCATTATGACTTACGATTTTGAAGATTACAAAATCGTGAATCAAGCTTAGGATTTAGGGTTGATTTTCTTAGTTTATTCAATCAAGAGAATCAACAATCAAATAAGCTGCAACAAGCTTATTAAACATGAAGAAAATCGAATAGGTTTATGCCATAAACATGGCCAAAAATGGTTGTTAGGTTTTTGTAGATTAGGGTTTTATAAAACGAGTTTAAAACCTTTGAACATGCATAAACTTGTAATTTAAACAATCAATCAATAAGTTATCAATCAATCATCAGAGTATCAAACACTTTCAATCAATTAGAGATCGATTTTTTTTTTTCTTTTTTTTTTTATAGGGTTTTGAAGTGTTTAAACAACAGGTTCTATGGCTCTCAGTTTTAGAAGATACCTTTTCCACCTTTGGATTTCTGACAGGCTAATGAAACTGGGAGCTAATAGACCTCAGTTAGCCGCTACAAATTCCAATTGATCACCAAAACTGGAGAAGCTGCTGGTTGAAGAAGGAAAAACTCGGATCTGGTTTTTTTGGTTGATCGTCGTGTACTGTAAGTGTGCGTGAGGGGGCGTCCGACGTTGGATCGACAAACGGTTTTCACCAGTAGATTCGTCTCGTCGAGGGCTTCGATTTGATATGTAGATCGTCTTCTGGTTCCTCACGGTTTGGAAGATATGCGTCTTTTAAGTTTCGACTTGCTTTTAGGGTTTTGGTGGTGGCCGGATTTATTAGGGTTTTTCGCTCAGAGAGTCTTATCGTGCTGATAACGTGTTGTGAAAACTTAGAAACTTTATTAATCACTGGAATGTATATATAGAGTACATAGGGAATCTAGGTTAAGTACAATGCCCTGATGGGCCTAATGGACCGGTATAAGAGTCCATATATGATATGTGTTATAACAATATTGAAGTTTTTTTTTTGGACAAAGTAGAATATTGTTATCAAACACACACAAAATTGTTTACCGCTCTCTAAACATAATTTTTATTTTATTTTTAGGGATAAGGATGTGTTCACCGCTCTTCACACCATCATGTTGAATGCCATATAAATTTTTCTTGTATTCTTCTAAATCGTTGTGGGGAGAAATGACAATCCAACGACTGGTGGCTCCATCACTAGCTAGCTATAAAGCAATGTATTTTCTTGTCAGAATCTAGCTCAAACAACCTATGATCTAAATGTATATTTACCCAATATCATAGATTCAATACAATTTTGTAAAATTAAAAATTTTATTTTGTCATCCTACTGAATTTACCCAACAGTTTTATCTTTTGGGGCAATTATATTAATAGGACAAAAAACTGTAGTATTATCCCTTTAAGATTTTTTCAAATTTGGCTACTTTTGGACATAAATACCCTTTTTTAGAATTATGAAAATTTTAAAAAAATATAGTTTTACAGTCTAAAAAATTTTGGAAAAATCAAAAAGGGAATTACAAAGACATTCCGTACCATAATATTTTTTTAAAAAAAAATTAAAACATTTGTTTTACAAATATTTTATGAATTAGTAGAAAGTGCATTCTATAAATATATAAATTATAGAATAGGTTTTCTACTATTTCATTAGTTTTCTACTAAAAATATAGAATTAGTTTTCTACATTTCTTCTATGTTCTACAAAGATATGAAACCGTATTCTATAAAATTACCATTGTTCTACAGTTTAGTAGAATTATATTTCTATAGTTCACTTTTTGTTCTACATCTTAGTAGAATTGCATTTCTACGGAAATTTTTTGTTCTACAACTTAGTAGAATTGCATTTCTACGGAAACTCTTTGTTCTACAATTATAGAATACTTATTCTACAATTCGGTTAATTGAATTTCTGAAAATCTAGGAGCAGATCTAGAGAATATAATTAATTTCTTTTTCATAATATTTAATTTCCTAATTAATTTTAAAACTTTTTTTTCTCAGAAACAGAATTCTGTCGCCAATTTTTTTCTTCTCCTCCTCAACTTAGCGTTTTTCTCCTCCTTCAACCTACAAACTTTCACGTTTTCTTCATAAGTTTTACGTCTTCTCCTTGTTTTTTCGTACCAACTACCTTAAAATATGTTACAAACCTACGTAACATGTGGATTATGGACTTCTGGTTTGAAGAGAGAGTGAAATTTTATTGTCGATGAAGAGAAAGGAGGAAGATTGATAACTCTGGAATCGAGTACAAGTTTTGAGGAGTTAAAAATGATGGTGCAGGAGGACTATGATATCGTTGATCAGCATGTTCAAATCAGTTATCTACCTAGTGATTTAACTGATAAATCAGGGTTTCCCCCAGTCATTATCACAAGTGACCGTCAAGTTAAAAATTTTGTTGGATATGCAAAAAAAATCCCTTCTGTTCGGCTCTGTGTGACACTGACAGGTCCATCTGCAATTAGAAGTGAACTTGTCAACATTGATTTGAATAAAGAGCCATCTGACTCAGGCAGCGATGAGAAACGGCAGGAAAAAAACTGAAGCTTTAGTCTTACAGCGGCAAAATGATGGCTGCACAACAAGTGCTCGTAAGTTAGAAGGTCTTGGCTAGGATGGTGAAGATATTTTGTTTGGTGAGGAGAAAGAAAAAATTCACTCAGAATCTCGGTGTTGGTTGGTAGACGCTGTCAAGAAGGGGCAACTTTTCAAAAGCAAAAACTATTTGAAAGTGACATTGGAAATATGTGCAATGCAGCACAACTTTGATTATGATATACGCTGCAAAGATAGAATGTGCAACTGGAGCGTTCGTGCAAAATGTTTAGAAGGCTCAACCTATTTCAAAATAAACAAGTATGTTGCTGAACATACATGTGCTCCATCGAAAAAAAAAACAAAAATCGGTAGAACAGCTTCAGCGAAAACAATTGGACTTCAGATTATGCATAGGTTTGAAGGTGTTAAAAAATGGCCAATACCTCGGGAAATCATGGAATTTATGCGAAATAAGTATGGATGCGAGACTTAAGACCCCATGGGTATCTATGCAGCCTCTCCAAATCCATCACCAACATAATGTCTTTGTGCGGGATATGAACGTAAATACTCTGCGCCATAACCAAACCCGCAATAATACACACGTAGACCAACCTCAACCTATCCTCGCGGCTACATTTGTTAGCAGTCTTGATGTGAACATCCTTTATCATCTTCAGGGTTATTCCTGCATTACGCTCCAACAGATTGCTCCAGAATCTACCATCTTTCTCCCAGATTTCCCAGTTCTCGTTCTTCGTCTCCCGGAACCTAAAACCAGTAACTGCATAATACTCTTGCATGGAGAATCGAAGAGGTCTCTGTCCGAAAATGAACCACAGTTTGTGCTTCTTGTCTGTCATAAGCTGTTTGCATAGAATGCTGTGGATCAGCCTCGCCGAATACCCAAGACCATTCTCATGCATCTTCACAATCGACCCAAAAACTGGATCTTGCAAAACTATCTTATACTCTGCTTCCAGGTACTGCTTAACGAGGCTAAGAATCGACAATGTACTGCGGTTGTTAATTTTATCAATTTCCGGTACACTTCCTGGCGTAAAAAATCGTTTAGGCAAGTCCATATCCAATCCTGCGAATAAGAAATAAAAGATTACGGAAATGAGTAGCTATCTTCATACATACAACATCACATAAACGAGATTAATGAGTAGCAATTAAAGACAATGATAAAAGAAAGGTAATTAACTATGTTCAACGTTTTTCATCATGAAACAAAAGGTTATCTAACTAATCTACGATGAATTTTTTTTGCTCATACCTCTGATGCTGCTTATAAATTTGCTTTATCAAATCAAAAGGAAAAAACAGAATGCATTAAACTTTTTGTTGAACAAAAAAAAAACAGAATGAAGTAAAAGTCATGATGAGTTTCGTTTTATTAATAGAGCACATAAACAAACGCCGTGTTAAGCAGAGTTTAGTTTACTTAATAATCTGCGGCGACAGCGAGAGAGAGTCAAAGCATACATTGTCCAAAAACTATCAAATCATGTTGCTCCTATTTCTCAAGCACTCAAATACAATGATGACATAAACCATAAAAACGAGAGTGCAAACACTAAACTTTCACTTCTCTCTCTCTCTTTTAAACCTTAAGGTCTCAACTAAACAACATAAGATCTGTTTCTTTGTGAAGCTAGACATCACCCTTAAACTCGATTCTCAACAATAAAACTCAAATCAATGAAACACAATTTCAAAAATCAAGCAAAGTCAATCATAGAAACAAGAACGAAATTCAAGAGTAAAAAAAAAAAAAGAAGTTGCAAATGCCATTGATATAACTCGACAGAGACTATAAAGAAGACTGAAATAAAAAGCCTTTGTAATCATACCAATTAAGACAGGTGGCATTATCTAGTGTATACCCATTGACCTACATCTTACTCCTCAACAAAGCACAATGTCCAAATTATCGTTTTTGTATTATCAATCAGCAAAGTATAAATCTTTTGTGACAGTATTCCTCTAGCTGTAATTAATAACCACAGGCCAATACAGATCCAAAAACGAGATGGATTCAAAGTTCGACCACTCTTAAAACCCAATTCAATTACCTACAGCTTATCAGTAAAACATAAGTCTACAATCAAACCAAAGAGAACTCGCCTTAGAAGCTATTGCAGCAGAGAAAATAAAAAAGTATTCAGTTCAAGGATTCTACAACTACAAAATCTCTCATGTAAAATTCGAAATTGAATCACAACAAATCATGGGAAGCTAACAAAGAGAAGAAGAAACAAATTTTAAACAATTTCGAAATTTAGATTCTGCAATTTATGACCAATAGAACACTGTCAATCAACACATTACCTTCAGATTATCAGATGAGACAGCAGCGATGAAGTTCTCTAAGCCTGAAAATCACTATCCCTACACATAGAAAACCCAAATCGATTTGGGATTAATCAAACCCTAACATCACAATCTATTGAAACGAAATTGCAAATAAGGAGTAAGCAGACAAGAGAAGAGGAGGACGTCGGTTTATTTAGACTTACCGGAGATAGAGAAGAAATTCCGGCAAACAGAATACCGGCGAACAGAATCCCTGAACTTTGTTTTTTTATCACGATGAAGAAGATGATGGTGGTAGGAGGCTGCTTCTACAAAGGATAAGGTAAGTGTAAATATTTTTTTTTACTTTTTAAGAATTTAATTTACTATGTTTAAATTTTGTATTCTAAATTTTATATTTTTATGGTTAAATCTATTATATTAAAACAGAAACACATTTAGTGCTTGCATCCAAACACTTCCAAAGTTTTTTTAATAATATTTTATTTTATTTTTATATTTAATTTCTGAAAATTAGTTATTAGTTTAAATATTTTTAGATTTCCTAAAATCTAAGTCATCTTTAATTTAAATTTCAAATTATTAGAAATTTAATCTATTCTATTAAAACAGAAGCACATTTAGTGCTTGCATCCAAACACTCCCAAAATTTTTTTAATAATATTTTATTTTATTTTTATATTTAATTTCCGAAAAATTAGTTATTAATTTAGATATTTTTAGATTTCTTAAAATCTAGGTCATCTTTGATTTAAATTTTAAATTATTAGAAATTTAATTAAATTTAGTTACAAAATTTTGCATTCAATTTAATTTAAATTCAAAAACTTCAAAAAAAAATTATAATTAAATTTTATTACAAAAATTTAGATAATAATTTTAATACTTTAGAATTTCTTAAATACAGGAAAAATTTAATTTAAAATTTCTTAATTTTAATACTTAAGAATTTCTTAAATATTTTAGATAATAATGTTTGTCAAAACATGTAAGATATTAAAAATGATTTAAGACAACTAAACGGATGGATTAGCAAATTCATAGATATATAGATTGTTTATGTGTAAATTTAAATTCACATAATAACAAAGTTTATAATTAACATTAGATCAATGTATACTGAATTAATGTATACTCTTGTTCTACTAATATACAAATTTTACTGTTTAAAATTAAAATATGATAACAATTTTTTAATTTAAAAAAATAAATAACAAAAATAAATTATATTTAAACAAAAAAGATAAGTGCAACTTATATTAGAAATAAAAAATAAAACATTCTCGTGCGGACGCATGGGGTTAAAATCTAGTTTGAATTAAAGGGGTAGAAGAGGTTAAAATATTTGTAAAAGTCTTAAGAAGACAAAAAGTTTTATATAAGTATTAAGGGGATAATAGTTAAATTTTTTTGTCTTATATTTTTAATTCTTTTTTTATTTTTTCGTCTTTTGAACTTTCCGCTTTTATTCTTTAATCTTTTCAACTCTCTTATATATAAAGACATTGTATATTTACTTTCGCTTATTCATAAGCTTTTATTTTGGAAACAATATACCTCCTTGACCTCCCCACCCCACAACGATCAAATGATAAACTGAGTTTAATATATTTATATATATATATATATGTATATACTTTTTTCTGTTTCATTAAATTGTATTTTTTGTCACAGTTTTATATTGTTATTTTTAGGCATGAGGATTTGTTCTCTTACTACACCATCATGATAAACACTATTTTGATTGTGTTGGTCTTTTTTTTTTTTTTGTAAAAAGGCATTCAATTGTGTTGGTCTTCTTTCGAATGACAATCCAATATTGGTAGCTCCATCACCAACCGGCTCCAAACTAGACCCAGACCCGTCAAATCTCTATTTGCATTTGGTATTGTGTTTCTCTCATACCCTCTCCTAAAAAGCTTTCAGATCTTAGCAGTTAATTAACCGGTAATCGGACCATAAGACCAAATCGTAATTAAACCTGAACTAATATCAAACTTATTGAGCCTGGTAGCAACGGTAACGTTTCTCAGATCTATTATATTATCTGATCGTGTGTTGTGGTTTTGATGTCTTTTTATTTGTTTTCACTATTTCAGGAGAGATGAGTGTCAACAATAGGCCGTGAAGTCGGGTCTGGCTCCATCTTAGACGACTTTTAGATTTAGGATATAGGCGATGTATGGATATGTGATTTACGGTGTTACCGAAATGTAACAGTTCATGAAATCTACCGAGTGAGAGAAACTAGCTAGAACCTATACGTAGTCAACAAGTATGATTATGAATTGTTTTCTTTTCCTTTGTTTTCTATTGGAGTATGAAGACCAGTTAAGATTGGTTTACTTCTCTGATTTAACTTAACCGTTTCGTATAGCTTTTATACTTGTATATATATAGTGTACAACGACAACAATTAATTCTAGAATCTATATTTGTGTTTTTCCCTGATAGCAGTGGGAAGAGGTTTTCTCTGATTACAGAGGGAAAAGAGGTTTTCTTGAATCATCCAAAATAAACGAATGAATTTAAGAGGAGAAAAATTGTGTTAAATAATCTCTATGTGTGATGTTGCAATCGCTCTTTTTTTATTTTCATTTATATTTTCTGCAGTTTGCAGTTTCTGTTTTTAGTTCAACTCTCTTGAGAAATGAGTTTTCTATGCGACTTTGGTGTGTAATAATATTTGTAATAAACGATTAAGAAGTTTCTGCTTACTAGGTTTTATTCGGGAGAATCCTCAAGTTTACTACGTTTTATCAGTTTTACTGGACCAAGAAATCTTTCAAACATCATTCATCATCATCACCATCTTCGTTTTGATGGATTCAGCTTATTATGTTTTATGGATTCTGTATGAAATGTTTTGGTGAATTGTTTTCTTCATGATCAGATGATCTCAGTACCAAATTTTACTTTCTTTAAGCTTTGTTACGCATTATCTACACAGGTAGACGAGAAGGAATTCGGTGTGGTAAGTTTTCTATTTATAATAATCAGATCTTGGATTTGAAATAGTAGAAAAGTAATGGCTTTATCGAATTTGTACCAGACCGCAAACCGGAAGATACATTGCACCAAACATTCCGGTTTATGTTTCGTTAAACTATGCTTAGAGAAAAAGCTGCCCTAAAGTAGTTTGGATCATAGACCAAGTTACCGTAACGTGCAATGCACGTGAAGGCCTAAATCCTTAAAAGATAATGTAGTTACAGTTTATTCCCCTGTGAAAAGTCTCTTGTGATAAATAAACAAGATTTACAGCTTTTTGTTTCAAAGCTTAAAATACAACGAGAAATTACTCTTGAAAAGATTCGAAGAAGTTAACATAAAATTAGGAGAAAACTAAAGAACAATACAGACTTGATTAATTCCAGAATAACTCACCAAACATAGCCCAAACCAAACCAAGATTTCAATTTTACCAAAGACCCAAAAAAACACGATGAAAATTTGGTTACAATTTGTTTGACACTAGTAGTTTAACATAACCAACCAGTTTACCGGACCTGAACAATACCGGCACTAACCAACTTCTGTATCTTGTTCATTACCATTGGGTTCTTCATATGTTCTTGTGCAGCTTTTGGGTTCTCTTGAAAATCCGCCAATACCTTCAAAAATTCATTAAAAAGACATCATCACACAATCCTCAAACTCAACTTTTGAGTTGTAAAAGCAAATTTCAGACTCTTTTTACCTGTCTCATCACCGGATCCGACAATATGTTCTGGACTTCTGGATCTTGCATTGCCTTTGCTTGTCTCTCCTTCAATTCCTCCGGAGTCAGATCACCACGGTTCGCTTTGTTTATCTGTTCCACACATCTGGAGAATAACATAGCATAGCAAACACTGTAACAAAACCGAACTCGCAAGCTTTTAACAACGACGAGATGCAAAATTTGCAAACCTTCTAACACCATCAAGCAACTCTTGGTTCTTAGGATCGTGTTTCAGCCCTTCTTGATAAGTCTCCATGGCTTTATCGTATTCCTTCATGAAAAATTGAATAGCTCCTTTCCTGCTGTATCCTTTGGTGAAACTCGAGTCTAGCTCGATGCACTTTTCAGCATCTTTCAATCCCTCTGGTAATGCTCCTAGCTTTGTGTAACAAGCAGCTCTGTTGCTGTACGCCTGCATACCAGGAAAAACACTTGCTATGATAACTAATTTTCTCAAACTTGATGCTAGCTCGACTTTGAATCAAAAACGATCTTACCCTCACATCCTTTGGGTTTCTTTTGATTGCCTCTGAATAATGCTTTACTGCCTCTGGATACTTTTGCTCTTTAAAGAACCCATTACCTGCATCGAAGGAGGGATGTCAAAAGCTTAAATCTTTATATCAAACCATGTTGCAAGTAAGTGTAAACCAAGGATTAGTAAATACCTTTCTCTCGCTCCTCCTCGGCTATCTTAGGATCAAAGTACTCCTGTTGCTCCAGCTCCTTCTTGGCTTTCTCAGCATCATTCAGTTTCTTCAATGTATCTGGATTGCGATGCTCTGTAAGAGCTTTCTGAAATGTCTCGATGGCAGGTTCAAAGTCTTTTGAGCATTTGGCCATTTTCACCAGCGCAGATCCTTTCCTAGTTAGAGCTTTTGCTATCATCTTGAAGTCAAAACGAAGCTCTCTGCCTCTTTCAACAGCCCTGTCACAGTCCTCAATGCACTCCTCATACTGATATTTGATACAAATAAATTCACAAAAACTGTGTAAGAGCTTAGATGTACCAACTCCTTGATCAAACTTAACTCATGCAGGAACACATAGACCAACGAATTTGAATCACTAGATATGAACACCAACACACTGGCGAACACAAAGTAACAATAAAAAAGCTACTTCTTCTGGACAAGTGAATACTAAAGTCTAAAACTCTCTAATCTCCATCAAGAAACATTATCAAAACCCATCAAGGCCAACACATAGATAAAAGCTATACTAAACAAACAAGTTACTTAATGAACCCAAGATTTCCTTTTTCCTCTAAAGTTTCGAGCTTTAAGCCATAAGGCTTAACTAGAACCCATAAACCTATTGTGCAGCAAAGAACACATAACACATCCTAAAAATACAAAAACCACACTTGTAAATGAGATTTGTGGTTTTACGTGTAAAGAAATTGAAAACAAATACCTTTCCCATCTCAAGATAAACAGCAGCACGGTTCGTGAGATACGAAATGTCTTCATCATCTAGCTCCATCGCCTTAGTGTAATGATCAATAGCTTTCTCGAAATCCTTCTTCTTGTAAGAAGCGTTTCCTTGCTCTTTCTCCGCTTGTGCCTTCTCCTTCCTCTCCTTCTTCTCCTTATCCTCCTCCGTCAACTCCATAGGCTCCGGTTCAGGCTCCACCGCCGGTTCAGGCTTCTTCGCCATCTCCGGCTCTTTTCTCGCCGGTGGAGACGAATCAGCCTCCTGCATCTCCGTATCTTCTCCCTTCGATCCACCAAACTTAACATCCAACAAAACCCCTAACGCCTGCATCACTCTCTTATCCTTCATATACAGATTAAGATTATTAGGGTTCTTCTGAATCTCCTGCATCGTCTTGACGAAATCAGGCTGCTGCAAATAAACCCTAGTCCCCGGATCCGCCGTCAATTTCGCCCACATCTCCGGCCCCTGAAACGCCTCAACGAACGGATTCGAATCCGCGCGTGGTCTCGACGCGTCGGCTAATCCCGATTTGAGAGTTTCGTTGTTGGGATCAAGCTCCAAACCTCTCTTATACGCATCGGTCGCTTCCTTGAACTGAGACAATCCTATGTACGCCGCGCCTAAACGGCTGTACCCTTTAGACCAATCGGGTTTAAGCTCCACCGTCTTCTTCGCGTCGGATAATGCTTCTGCGTAGCGGTGGAGAGAAGCGTAGGCGGCGGATCGGTTCGAGTAAAGGACATGATTAGTCGGCGCGAGGTTGATCGCTTCCGTGAAATGGGTAATTGCGGTGGCGCAATCGCCGGAAGAGAAGGCGGCGTTTCCTTTGGCTTTTGCTTCTTCAGCCATTAAAAACAGAATCGAATACGAAGAGAAGAAGGAGGGTTTTGTTAGCTACTACGAGACTCTGTTGAATCGAATTATTAGGCATTTTGGTGATTGCGATGATGACGTACATTTAAAAAAGAGGGAAGAAACGAGGATGCTACGCGATTGGGAGAGACGAGGAGGACGAGAGAGTTCTGGAAATTTCGAAGTTTTCTTCTGCGTCGAGAATGTTCGTAGCCGTGGGGAAAAAAAAATATTTAAAAAGGCCCAAAAGAGGAGAAAAAACGCTTCGGAGAGGGGTCGAACCTCTGACCTTGTGGTTAACAGCCACACGCTCTAGCCAACTGAGCTACCGAAGCTCGTTGTCAACGTACATACATTTTATATATAATCAATAAAAAATAATGTATCCGAAACAGTTAATTTTTATTTTCACATACATAATGGACTTTTTTTTTTTTGCTTTATAAAATCACGATGAACCCCATGTAATATGATCATGGTAGGAAAACAGTTCATAAATAAAAACACCATGTGTATGATAATAAAATTATTCGATGGTAACTTTTTACCGCACATGACAAAAAAAAAACAGTAAAAATTAACCATACAAAAACCATACTTTCAATTTTGTATTGCTATTTTTACTACTATGTTTTACTTTTACAACCATTCATCTATTACCGTTTATCATTCTATTTTCGTTAAAAACTTTTACCATTTGGTATTAATGTTGTATTCTATTTTATGTTTGCAGCAAACGAGCAAACTTAAAAATTACACAGATCTGTTATCATAGAGTTATTAAGTTCCCTAGTTGTATTCTATTATCATTTATGAAATATAAACATTAAAAAGTAATAATAAAATACATGTTTGTTTATGGACATTTTGATCTAGATTGGTGATACAAAGTGATAAGAATTTTGGAATATGTAAAGTGAATGGCAACTAACAAGTGATATAGAAATACAAAAAAAAGTTGAAAATACCACTGTAGTTTAACAGCTAATCTCTATATTATTATTTGAGTAGACAATTACATAAATGAACTTTTATTTGTAAGATATTACAAAAAATTTTACATAAATGAACATTTATTTATAAGATATTACATACATAAACTTTTACTTATAAGATATTACATAAATAAATTTTATAAATATAGAAAAGTCAATTAAATATTTCTCCATAAGAGAGAGTTAAATATAGAACTTACAGATTTGTTTTGAATATATATGGATTGAAATCAAAAGTTTACAGTATTTAGTTTATTTATTTATTCAAATATTAAAATATATTCTATTATTTAAAATAATCAGTCTATATATATAAAAAAAACTATTTATACTTTTGAAATATTTTTCATTTGTATTTCATAATTGATGAATATAATTTTCAAAAATCAATTCAATTATTTTATAAAAAAAACTGAAATATGTTTTCAAAATTTAAATTATAACTTTTACGGGTTTGTCGAAAAAATATTTTAGTAAATTACGAAATAGATTAAGTAGATGGATTTGTCCACTTTGACAATCCCATATATAATTACTATTAACATAAATTATAGAATTTATTAACTAAAAATGATAGTTTGATCTCTAATAAAATATTTACAATTAAATTCTATTATAAATATATATTTAGATTCTAATCCATATTGATATATATATATATATATTAACAATTAACATCATATCACTTTCATATTTAAAACTACTAATAATTAAACCGCATAACAAAACTAGCTCAAACTCCTATTCGATAGATATATATACAAGTATATATCGGTTGTGTAATATTCATATATGTATTGTTATCTAATTATCATCAATTTTATTTATTTATATTTTTTGTTAAAGGTTTTTTTACCATCAATTTTAATTTAACCAAAAATAATCAAAATTAAATTTAAAGACAATTTAAAAATCATTACCCCGCACAATATGAGGGTTAATTTCTAGTTGATTATTATTTTATCATTGGTAACTGTTAAAACGGTAAATTTGTACCTAAGTGAGAAAGAGTTACCAATCAAACTCTTCATTTTTTTATGACAAAATAACCTTTATTAATTAGAAATCATATAGTCAGAATACAAAATTTTTGTTAACCAAAATGGTGGATTGACACAATCAGAATAAATGATACAATTTGGACTTTTCTTAGCCAACAAATGAACTGTCTCATTTGAGTTTCTGTGAATATGTGCTATAGAATGGTATCTGAATTTCAATCTCCAAAAATCGATATTATCTTTTATCTTTTAAGTTTAAAATAGCAATATTTTCCTTGTAGCCATGTAAAATGTCAACCAGAACTTTGCTATCCCTTTCAAAACATATTGAATCGAAGCCAAGACTAATCAAACTCTTCATATGTTGCAGTCTGATAAAAAAATTCACACACATAAATATAGTACTATAAAATTTATTTAAATTTGGATAAAAATAGAATTTATTTCATATATGTTCTATAAATCTACGAAATAATTATTTTAATTATGGATCTGTCGTGTATATTTCAAGAAAAAAAAAACTAAATAATATTTACAAAATTCCTCTATTGTGTCCTTTTTTCTTCTCTTTTGATTTTTGACTATTTTTTATCTTCAGTTAAAAAAAACTAGAAAAAAAAAAGTCAAATTATAGAATCTTGTAAGTTCTCTTCTTGCGGCAATGATCCCATGCGGCGATCCTCATCTGAACTTTCTCAAAATCAGAAACCCGACACGGAATCGTGATCCGACCCGGTTGATCGAACCCATGAACCCGCTCCGCTTGCTCCAATAACTCTCCGAACAATGGGTGATTAAAGTAAATCACCGGCACTACCACCCGCCGCGTGTCTCCATCGGATTCGCCGACGTGAACCACCAAATGCCCCCTAGGTACAACCCGCATCTTCGGATCCTTACCCAGACGGGTCTGACCCTGACCCGAACTCTTCTTGCCACCGCACAGTCTCTTGGCTCCACGGCTTAGACACCGTGCCAGTGAGCGAATTCCGGCGATCGGGTTTGTAATTCGGGTCGGGCATTGGCGTCTCCTCGATTGAATTCTTCTGGGTCGAACCCATCTGAAGATCTTGACAAATCTGTGTCCGATTTTGAAACCTCTCACTCTCTTCATGTTTCTTCGATCGGATTCAAATAAAAATAATCGGAAAAAAAAATGAAACTTTTCAGTGAAACAAAGAAACGGGTTTGTGTAAAATCGAGTTTCAAGAATTGGGTTTGATTTAAAGCAATAGATTATGGGAAAAGTTTGGATTTTGCTCTCTTCTCTGTGTTGGCTTTACTGTTGAAGAAGACTGTTTAGGTTTGGGAAGGAAGCAAGCTCTTATATAGAATTTTGAGCTATGACCGTTACTTGGTAAATATGTGTGTGCGTGCGCTTTTAGACGTGCACTTGTGCACTTTGAGTCATTGATGGATAGTTTTCCGAATTCAAAATTTTATAATTTTTCTTTTGAATACTTTCTTTTTGTTAGGTTTTAATTTTAGAATACTTGTATTCTATTTAAAAATTTAGGGAAAGGGTTTAGGGGAAAAAATACGCAAAAGAGCTCTCATTTCTTTTTCATTTTTTCCCGATTGAACCACGGAAAATGATGATGATATCTTAAAATAAATAAAAATGGATGACGGAATTTACTAAGCGAGAATTATTTAGGTTATGTTTCACCATCTTTTTACATCTGGATGTTTTGGATATGTTTTTTTTATTTACTTTTTTGCTAAAATATTTTTGATATGCGATTCTGATATATCGTTTATCATCATTTTCTACAATTCATCTAAATCTAATTCATCAAAATTTCACGTTAAAGAAAATTGATTATCTAATAAATAATTAGCAAAGTGGAAGAGACATGACATGAATGTCCATACCTGCGATTCAGTGACGATTATCTACCACATCAATTGACTTGACAATTTCATTAAGATGCTGACCATTTAACTTAGTTATTTTGACATGTTATAATCATTATTATGTAACCGTTAGTTGAACCTTCTGATTATATTTTGATTAAAAAATATTTACGATTATGTGAGTTTGTAATAACATGTTTCTTGTTGTAAGCATCTAGGATGATTCGATTTAATTTTTTATTAAAATACTCTCCATTAAAAGATTACTATGTCGTTTCTTTGTTAATACATAGCATATGTGTATCGATGTATATGAACTTAGTAGTTATTAGTCAGATTTGTTTGCTTTTTTTATCATATATAACTCAGACTAATTATAATGGTTTTGATAAGACAACTTGGAACAACGCATCCATAAAGAAATGTTATAGAGATTTAGTCCAGATATGGAGCTTACATAAGTTAATATTCATTAAATTTAGTACATTATTCTAAAGGGAGTTTTAAATAGCGAAAAATGAAAGCTTGAATTAAAAAATAGAAAAATAAAGAAGATGTAGATGAAGACATAAGGCATGCAACTGTGTGGGAGGGACATAGAGTGGGATTTGGTCGGCGGTCGACACGGCGCGTGCGATCTTTGTAACATGCCCCGATTCATTGCAAGTGCTTCGTTCTGTTTGAGAATTATTAAGTTGCATAGTTATTAATTATTTTGTTGTTTTTCTACAGTGTAGTAATTGTGTTTAGGTACTTTATTTTGAAGTCTTAAAATATATTATGCAAAACATGCAATTGGCTCTAATTATATGCTTTGTCAAAACCAAAACTGATGCCATCCCTTTTCTTTTGTTAAGAAAAAAATATTTGACATCACTAATAACTTTTTGACTGATATGTTAACTAATCAGTCATTATTAGTATTCTCGTGTTAGCTTCATGTTTCTTTGATGCGTTTTCTTCTATATATGATCATTATCAGTCGCAATATCGACATGAGTTGGAAAAAAAAATGTTCAACTGATAAATATTTTTTTGTTAAACTCGAATATATAATATTCTGATTGCATGTTCAAATCTAAGTCGTGTAGTCATTTATTTCTGATACTTTTCCCCAATCTCAATATCAGTATATATCAACTCTTTTCTGAAAAAAGATTTGCAAAAAATAGAACGAACCAACTTTTCTCAAAAATCCGCTAGAACATTAATTTTTAATTCAAAATAGTAACCATCGTTAGTTCACATCTCACAAATGGTTTTTTGTTTTCTAATGTTTTAAGCTCTCTTCTTGCATATGTTCTTTTTTCCTTTTATCCTACCTCAAAACCTAAAACTTGTGGAGGGATGAGTGTACCAATTCGCATTACACACAACTGATTTGAACAAGGCTTCTCTTTCTTATATATCAACAGATGGCATAAAAAAAAAAAAAAAGAGAGTTATTCTAGATTTAAGAGAGTTATTTCTTAACGTCAAACAAAAATAGTTTTCTTTCAAAGGTATGAAAGAAAAGTAATATTCTAAGTCGAAAAAAAGAAAATGAATATTTTAAAATCAAATTTCTATTAGAAAGTTAAAAGTATTATGTGATGAGACACGACACTACACATTCTTTTAAAGTTCATTAAAGATCAAATGTAATAACTAATTAACTGAATAATTGCTGGTTATTTATTCTAATCGATAGGATTGTGGCAGCAAAACATTAAGATCCGTGATGGGTGGATTAACAACAAAAAATTACTAGAGCTTGGAAGATGCCAAATATTTATTTATTATATTGTCTTCTTGCCCGCAAACAAATCTGGGGCTGACTTTCTTTAGCTGTTCTTATTTGTCTTTGTTCTACAATGATACGGTCCAGTTCTTCACTAACTACTTGGGTTTGGCTTGATTATTTTATTCTTATTCTTGTAATAAAACCCTTAGCTTATGCTACAAAAATAAACATATTAATTTCTTTAGTATATGGATTAGATAGCCTACTTTTGACACTTATTTATAAAAATGATAGGATAAGAAATAAGTTAAAGTTGATATTAAGGCGTCATTTTTGCAACATATATTCGGAAAAGTATTAGACAAATAACATTTTTATTCTATTCGATGATAATATTAAATGATATCATGTTATTTGATAAAAAAATATGAGAAATTATCAAATAACTATTCACGAATTTGCTATTGCGTCATTTTGGCAATAAATGTCAACTATGTATAGTAGTGTAACTAGTGTTTGATTTAGCTTATGTATGTCAGTTTTGATAACCCCTAGAAATTCTGAATCTTTGTCTCATAATGCAAAGGCCAGTCAATGATAATTACCATCTAAAAATAGTTAAGAAGTAAATCACCTCTCCTAAGTAGAATTGGACTAAACCTTAAATATAAAGATCTTGATGGTGCATGTTACATTATTAGGGATTAAAATTTTAGTGGCCATGTCACATGTGTATTAGATTAGTAAGGTGGTTAGAGATACGGGCAGTTATGCTTAAAGATTTGGCGGGTACTTTGAGAATAAAACTAACATATCATCCATCTATATATCTCTATTTATTTCTTCATTTGCTCAAGAGTAGTCGGATTTGGTCTCGAGTTTATAAATCATAAATATATGATACACTACTGAAAATAAACATAAAACATATCACTATCAACAAACAACAGTAATACTGAAACTGTTTGTTGAAATTTCCAAAGGACTTAAATATATAATATATATATATATATATATCTCCTTTAATCTTATACAGATTTATAACGTATCCCAATCATTTTTAATAACATAAACAAAAACGATGAATCTAGATAAATAATTTGTTTAAATGTAAAGATTATGTATTATCAATTTTCGATTTTTGACAGAATTACAGAGATTGCAAAGAAAAAGATTAACCAAATAAAATAATTTGTTATTTAAGCTAAAGAAAATAAAGTAAATTAAGCATATTTTTCTTTAAAGAAGTTGTCACTCTTTCATATTGGATTCTTTTATGATGTCAAGTGTGTGAATTGGATTCATGTATTTATGGAATATTAAATTTAAGCTTAATAACATCGGAAAAAAAAATATGACGAATGTATGGTTCAATATTAGGTACACATAAGTACATAAAAATGTTAGTTTCTATCCTTCTCTTCCATAAAGGCTCCGAATTTCTTTCTTCTTTTTCCCTTTCGTGCCTCCAACTATATTAACACGTTTTCAATTTTTCTATAAAAATGTAATCGTGGCATTTGGAGTATCTTTTTCTTTTGAACTAGTGGATGGAGAAAAGAAAAGAACATCTAGAAAAGTTTGTAAGGGGGAAAAAAGAAGAGGAAATTATGCAAACGTGTTTGGTTTATAGTAATGCCTTGACCATTCATTATACTCTCTTATTCTCTACGCATTACAGTTTCGCTTTTCACAAGAAACAGATGTAACATGTATCGAACGTACACGGTCTGCCTTTTGAAATTTCTTTTTTTTTTTGTGATCTTGGGTCCGAAAAATTAGTAAGAAAGAGAAGCCTTGTTCAAATCAGTTTGAAAGAAAGAAAGAGAAGCCTTGTTCAAATCAGTTGTGTGTAATGCGAATTGGTACACTCATCCCTCCACAAGTTTTAGGTTTTGAGGTAGGATAAAAGGAAAAAGAGAAGAGAGTTTGGGTAAGTAAGAAAGAGAAGCCTTGTTCAAAATCAGTTGTGTGTAAGTAGTTTGGGTAAGTAAGAAAGAGAAGCCTTGTTCAAATCAGTTGTGTGTAATGCGAATTGGTACACTCATCCCTCCACAAGTTTTAGGTTTTGAGGTAGGATAAAAGGAATTTGATTTTAAAATATTCATTTTCTTTTTTTCGACTTAGAATATTACTTTTCTTTCATACCTTTGAAAGAAAACTATTTTTGTTTGACGTTAAGAAATAACTCTCTTAAATCTAGAATAACTCTCTTCTTTTTTTTTTTTTTATGCCATCTGTTGATATATAACGATTAACAATTCCCCATTACAAGCATCATAACCCTAAGCCAAAGATGCACAAGAGATGGAACTATAAAATCTTCCTTTTCTTGGTCAAAAGAAAACAGCTCCAAAAACAGAGGATTAAACCTTCTCACCATCAAAGAGATCATTCAACCAAAAAGGATGTCTTGTTTATATCATTTATGTAAAGTAAATTGAAAATGTCCTCCGGAACATAGCAGCGTGCCACTATGAGTCAAGGACCAAATAAGCCGTATGCATATTGTCAGTGTGGCCCATAATAAAGTTTTGATGCTCTTCAAGTACAGTACTAGGCCCATTAAAGGCTCATTATTCTCATGCTAAGTGACAGTAGGAATGTAGGATGCTAGGATTTTTTTTTTTTTTTTGTCGTCCACAGATTTGTATTAAAGCCATGAAAGGCAAAGATGATACATAAGCTCAGAAGCCCA